CAAATCAAATAAGTAAGTAACACAAATAAAAGAAATCTCTTCATATAAACAAACTTAAGGCTTTGTCTGTGCTCTTTCCTTTTAAAATTAGAGGCAACCACTGCATTTTAATCTTGATCCAAACAAAGATGCTGCATACATGCAACATGAGCAGTTTTTAATCTAAATTAGATTGTATAATTTCAAAATTTGAAGCAAAAACATAATGGTTTGACTTCAGTTTTGTGAAACTATAAATAAAAATATCTGCATGAAACAGAGGAGCTGAATGAGACGCAGATTCACTCTCTGCCAGCAGGTGGCACTTAAAAAGTTTCCTTGGTTTCCGCTGTAAACAAAGGAGCGCTGCACTTATGAACTTTAATATGCATTATACAGAGGCAAGATGAATAGAAAAAATACCATCTAAACTTTTCTAAAGACAGTAAGTTCCCCTCAGACATGCATTCATATAAACTCCTACACCTAATTGAATCGCGATTTGTTTAGCATCTCAACCGATTTGAATCGTCACATATTTGAATCGATTTTCAACCGGCTCGCGGTTAATCGTTACATCCCTAGTAAATATCTTGAGCTTGTGTTAACCGCAGACCTCATTTCAAAAATCTTCAGGACAATGGAAGCGGATAGCTAAAATGCTAACTTGTTTCCAGGTTTTGGCCTGCAAAAATGTCATCCCTGCATGACTCTATATCACAGCCTACTTTTTACATTCCAGTGTGATACTAATTCATTTAATACCAGTCCTACATTATTTCATACATTATAATCATCCTCAGGAATGCATTGTATACCACATTATGGAGGTGAAATGCATTGCAAGTGCCAAGTGTTTCAACAATGAATGTGTCGGTATTGTGTTTTTTTGGTTTTTTTGCGGACAGTGAGAATGACCGCGTGATGCAGGTCAACACCATCACCATGGATAATGTGCCTCATTCATTTGCTGTGCAGTCACTTCGGAAATGTGGGAAAGTGGCCAAAATAGTAAGTATTTTTCAAGTTGACCTTTATGAGAGGCCTTCTAGAATAAGTTTACTTACTTTGGATACTAGCATTGGTTAGCAGTGTGAGATATTAGCATTTTTATATTTAAGGGCCAGTATGTGCCTCCTGGAATTTATTTTTCAGGGTAATTTTTTAACCTTTATGAACACATTTTTGAAACATATTTCTAACCATCCATTTATGTACGTGAATTTATACAAATATGTGAATTTAAAGTAAATTAATATGAATGTTTTCTGTGATTTGAATTGAAGCTGAAATAAATAATAGATGAAAAACTTAAAAAATAAAAAAAAATTAATCAAATTTTAAAATTAGAAATTCAAAAAATAATAAAATGGTGTAAGCACGTAAAACATTACTAAAACTTAAATAAAAAAAATATATAAATATATAAAACTATGATATTATATAAATAATACTAAAATAATATTATATTAGGGAATATTATATGAATTAAATGAATGTAACGGATGTTATTTATGAATTGACATTAGATGAAAAAAGTAATGCAAGATATCATAAATGCATAAATAATGTAAAGTCATAAATTCTCTTCTCAAATACATTTTAAATATTCAACATGTACATAATGACAGTATTTTTTCAGGTTAAATTATTTGAGTTTATATTTTATGAATATTATGAAATCTATTAAAAGTTAAATAACACATTTTTAAAAGAATAATAATTAAAAAAAACATTAATTTTACCTCCCAAATTTAAAAAATATCTGCCCTTTTTTCGACACTTTTGGTTGCATTATTGCTCTGGTAATTGCTGTATATGTAGTGTAGTGCTTTCTGTCTGTTTTAAAACATGCTAATTCACATGCAGCCTTCAAATGAATGTATTGCAAGTGATCCAAGATTAAGTAACGATCATATAGTAGGATAAATGTTTGCTTTTAGATATGGTCCTTTTGATAACAGTGGGCTGAATGTATAAAGACTAATTTTATTCATCGCTCCCCACAGACTGTAAAGAGGCCTCGCAAGGTGGCTGTCCTCAAGCGCCCACCGTCCCCGAGCGGGGATAGCCGCGATTACAACATATCCAGCTATTATCCCGAGGACAACCGCAGCGTTCACAGTGACCCGGACTCTGATTACCCTCGGGGAAACGGCGGCCTGGGCTACCCCCGCGAAAGAGAGCATGACCGCAGCCTCGACAAGAGCCGGATAGACTACCTGGAGCCGGATTACCGCAGCCAGGACTACGACTCCCGGCAGGAATGGAGCAGAGGCAGGAACACGGAGAGATCACCCAGCTCTGACAGCGGCTACCGCAGGGACGGCAGCCGGGGCCGGACGCTGGAGCGCGGATCCAGCCCAGAGCCTCGCTATCACAGGCAGCACAGTAGAGGCCGCGGCGGGGGAGGAAGCCCTGCCGGAAGCTACGGGAGGGACCAGGGCTACAACACGCGGAGGTATGACACTCGTTCGGATGACAAGATGATCAGGAGTCACAGCAAGGACCAGCTGCAGGATTGCTCACCGTCACCCAGCAGAGAGCGAGACAGAGGAAGAGACCGGTACAACGATGAGCCCCTGGAGCCGCCCATCAATGTGATGCTGGTGAAAAACAGGCCCAATGAAGGTGAGAGTTGTCACTAATAGCATATTTTGATATTAAAGTTAGGTGACTGAAAAAATGATTAAAACAGTTTAGAAGGGTCATATCATTAATTTTTTTTATTACTTTATTCTTATTACTGTTTTCTTTCCACTGAGGTCCAAGGTTTCTTGCACCAAAGAACACTTTCCACCCTTTCCAGAACCTTTGGTTTCATGTAAATTAATTATTATTTGGATGTATATCTTATTGCCTTATCCATGTAAATTAGATTTCTTGACAGTCAAGTGTAAATAGCTCAGTCCCAATAACAAGTTTATAATTTATGGGCTTTATTAAAGAAAATACTCAAAGTTGGATCAATATTTATGACAAACATTGACATAAAATTGCTGCAAGTTTGCATTTTCTCATGCAAATGAGTTTGTGGCAATTGTTTGTGGCAAATTTCCTGGCAAGCAGTTGAATTTTTTTTTTTTTATTTAAAATTTAAGGATGCATGATTAAAAAAGCACAATATGGCCTTTTTTTGGTAGCATTGCACTATAAAAAGCTTAAGGAATACACTACCATTCCAAAGTTTTGGGTCAGTAAATCTTTTTAAAGGAATTAATACTTTAATTCAGTGAGGATTAAATTAATCAAAAGTGACAGTAAAGACATTTATCATGTAAAATAAATGCTGTTCTTTTAAACTTTGTATTCATCACAGAATCCTGAAAAAACTTATCATGGTTTCCACAAACATTTTAAGCGGCATAACATTTTTACTTGGATATTAATAATAAAAAATATTTCTTGATCAGCATATTAGAATGCTTTCTGAAAGGATCATGTGACACTGAAGACTGGAGTAATGGCTGCTGACCTCAGCTTTGACATCACAGGAAAAAAATTTAATTTTGAAATAGATTTAAATAAATGCAGCTTTTTATAAAAAAAAAAAAAAAAAAAAAAAGTATTACTGTATATATTCCAGTAAAGGTGTGTTGCTCTGTATAGTTTGTGATAACCCATCCTTCAGTAACAGCCTTTTTCCGATGCTGCATTATGTGACAGATTCACAAAACAATACATGCTAAAAATGCCGCACAACCGTTAAGATCAAACTGAAATGACCAAGGACCTAAAAATAAACTTCAGCTGTTTGTTTCAAATGTTGCCATCTTTTAGAAGAATATGCAAAGCACAGCTAGGAACTGCACAAGTTTTTTTGGACATTACAGCATACTTCCATACTACATCAATCATTTTTATCTCAAAAGAGTAAAATATGGCTTGATATGACCCCTTTACAAGAGCAGAGCCTTTATTCCTGCACACATCCATCCTAAGACAGTTTGTCCCCATTGGATTTTGATGATATTTAAATCTGATTTATTTTTGAAGGCCCTGTCAGATTTCAGAGGACATATATTCTTGTGACTTCACATAAAGCGGTCCGTCTCTTCTGATTTCCTCAACTGCCCTTCATAATTCACAGCCCAGAAGGGCAAAGCTGGGTAGCGCTGTTTATTACCAGATTATCTTGCCTAGGGTTGTGAAATGGGAACCGGTTGTTTTTTTTAGAACTGGGTTTAGTTTTTAGAACAAAATTGGAACTGAAAGAGTCATCATGTTCAGTTCTGTAAGTGGTTCTTGTACGTTCAGCAGAGAGCTCTGATTCTGCCCGTCAGATCAATACTCCACATTTTCAGTTTCGATTTAAATTGTTTGTGGTGTTTGACCCATTCAGCGGCCACTAAACTAACAGCTGGAGGGATGGCTGTGTACTTAAAAGGGTCAAGGTCATTGTTACGTTCCCTGGGAGTTGTTGTTTTTGCTTTTGTTTTCCCTTGTTTCTTGTTCTTTTCTTTTTCCCCAACTCCTAGCTTTCCGCTGAGTGGACGACTCGCCGCCAATCATTATTAGGGTGTTCCATACTGCGACGAATCAGCTGACGGATTTAGGCGCCACTCTATCACGTCTCTCCCTTTTTTTTTGTTTTTTTTTTGTATTCCACTTTTTATTGTTGGCACTGTAAATATGCACACGTGCTGCTGGTGCGTTTCTGGACAGCTACGTGAATAAATTGCTGCCTTCTGCCATTTGTAGAATAAATTGCTGCCTTTTGCCATATGCTGTCGTCCTGGCTGTTTTTCTGCTCTCCTCTCCATTCATCGAATTTATTTGTTTTAAATGTTGCGAACCAATTCCCTAGACCTCGAAAGGACCGTAACATTTAGTGGGGGCTCGTCCGGGATCTTTTTACCCACCAGAAGTAGTTATTTGACTGTTTGATGTTGGGGAGGACGGCAGAATGATTTTAAGCAGTAAGTGACTTTCTTGTAAAGGAACGAAACCGTTTGAGCAGGTGGTTGGTCAGCCGTGTTGGGCAGCGTTTGAGAAGCCACGATGGCTGATTTCGATTTGGAGACTTTTCTTAAAGGGGTCATATGATGCGATTTCATTTTTTCCTTTCTCTTTAGAGTGTTACAAGCTCTTGGTGCATAAAGAAGATCTGTAAAGTTGCAAAGACTAAAGTCTCAAATCCAAAGAGATATTCTTTATAAAAGTTAAGAGTTAGCCAGTATCGCTGCACATTATCAGATTGCGGTTTCAAAGCAACAATTAAAAAGGGAAATTAAAAGTGCTGTTTTACAAAGTTTGGTGGAATTAAGGATCGTGATGTTACATGCAGCAAGAGAGGAGGATTCACTCAGTTCAGACACTCGCCCATCACCTCGCCCTTAGAGGATAGTCTGAATTATGATACGGTGAAAGTAGCAATTTTGCGTGCATACGAACTTGTGCCTGAAGCTTACCGGCAACGATTTAGGAAACATAAAAAGACCTCAAATCAAACGTTCGTCGAGTTTGCGAGAGAGAAGGGCATTTTATTCGATAAGTGGTTGACGTCCAGTAAAGCAGTGGATTTTGGGGCATTGCGTGAATTAATTATTTTAGAAGAATTCAAAAATTGTGTGCCGGAGCGGATTGTTGTTTATTTGAGTGAACAGAAAGTGACGTCCTTGTCTCAAGCGTCAGTTCTCGCGGATGAATTTGCTTTAACCCATAAAAGTGCGTTTGTTCCTGTTCGTTCGGAAAAGACGGCAACTGACTTCATGCTTATGGCTGACCAATCACGTGCTAGACAGAGTGTTCCAAAATTGAAAGAAGACAGGAAGTGTTTTTATTGTCATAAGTACGGGCACTTGATTGCTGACTGTATCACGTTAAGGAAGAGGCAGCAAAGTTCCACACAGAAAAGTGTTGGGTTTGTGAAAAGAGTCCCGGCTATGGAGGTTGGGGTTAGTGAAAAACCGGAGGTCAGTTATGATCCTTTTATTTTTGAAGGGTTGATTTCAATGTCAGATAATCATGCTGGACAAGTTAAGGTTAGAATGCTGCGTGATACAGGCACGAGCCAATCCTTCGTAGTGGCAGGTGTACTGCCGTTTTCAGAGCAGACTTATTCTGGCAGTAATGTCCTTGTGCAGGGAATTGAGATGGGCCTTGTTAAAGTTCCATTGCACAAGATATACCTGCAATCGGAGTTGTGTACAGGATTGGTGCAGGTCGGTGTACGTGAAGAGCTGCCTGTCAAAGGGGTAGATTTCCTTTTGGGAATGATTTAGCTGGCGGAAAAGTTTTCCGTGTTGGAGATGCTTGATAGGCCCGTGCTGTCTGATCAACCAGGGTTAACAGAATAAAATACAGGAATTTTCCCTGCATGCGCAGTTACGCGGGCTCAGGCTCGCTAAAAGGATGCCTTTGATTTGGTTTCTACTTTTGTCTCACCTATCTTTGCTGCTGAGGAGGATATCACAGAATTTGATTTGAGTAGACCAGTTGAAAATTTAGACTCTTCGAATTCGAATTGTCTAAAGCTACCAATGTCCCGAGAGAAAATAATCTCTGCCCAACAAAATGATGGGACTTTGCAAAATTGTTTTTCGGTAGTGGTTCCTTTAGAGGAGGCACGGAAACGAAAATTTGCGTATTTTGTTGAGAACGGACTTTTGATGCGTAAGTGGTGTGCAGACACGGCAGATAACACTGAGTGGAATGTGGTTTATCAGATTGTTATTCCTTCCTGTTATAGACAGCAAGTCTTATCGTTAGCTCACGACCATGATCTGTCAGAACATACTGGAATTAGAAAGACTTACAATCGAATTTTGAGACACTTTTTTTGGCCACGTCTTAAAACGGATGTTGCTCGCTTTTGTCGTACTTGCTCCACATGTCAGACGGCTGGAAAGCCGAACCAGGTGATTCCTCCTGCTCCACTTATTCCTATTCCAACTATGGGGGAACCGTTTGAACATGTAATTGTAGATTGTGTGGGCCCGTTGCCCAGAACGAAATTAGGGAATCAATTTTTGCTGACAGTTATGTGTGGCACAACGCGTTTCCCGAAGCTATTCCGCTAAGGAAAATCACGGCGCCTATTATTATTCGGGCACTGGTGAAATTCTTTTCTATGTTCGGGCTGCCTAAGGTAGTACAGACTGATCAGGGCACGAATTTTCTTTCTAAAATCTTCACACGGGTATTGTCGACATTAAACATTTCCTATCGGGTTGCCAGCCCATACCATCCAGAGAGTCAAGGCGCACTGGAACGATTTCATCAGACCTTAAAAGCGATGCTAAGAAAGTACTGTTTAGATACAGGCAATGACTGGGATGAGGGAATACCTTTAGTTCTATT